CCAATGTCGATCGATCGGAGTTGGATTCAAGAGTAAGCCCCCAGATTGGCGGTATATGAAAAAATGGCCTAATTAAAAGTACCCTTAACCGACGAGCACGCATGAAAAGATTAATGACTGTTGATAAAGCGAAAGAGTAAGTAAAAAAGTAGGAATCATAGTAATTGGCGTTCCCTAGTCTCTGCCTACCCCCATGGGAGACAGGCGTGAACATATGTATGTATGTATGTAATAATGCGTGTAGTTGAATAAGTTTGAATTATGAGAACAGTCTTAAATTATAGGTTGTTTGGGTTTGTGAATGGGGGCTTAGGAATTTATTGTCATTAAGTGGCGCCACTATCGAATTAAATATTACTTTATAACCAAATTTTTCTAGAATCACCCTTTACGTGAACGTTCCTTTAATTTTCACGAAGAGGGTGATTCTGTTTTATTTTTTTAATAAACCTAGTAATTCGACTACCATAGAAAACAAGGACAAATGCGTTACAACAAGAAAAGTGTATAAATGTCACCACTACACAGTACACCAACCCATTATTCCATACTACATCCTTACGTCACTGTTATTAAAACATTACGAGTAATTACGTCATACGCCGGTGATAACATTTGGCTGATAAGCGCTGCATTCATTGCAACAGGTGTTGCCATTACGTCACTGAGAACGTAAGCATACCATGTAGATTACAAATTACATACTCGAGTTAAAAACGTTATAAAGGTTGGTATATCGACGAGTAATTAATCACGAATGGATGCTGATAAAATAGATATACCGCAGTAACAATCCTAGTATTTTTTTTTTATGCAGGGAAAATCATCGAATGGCTGCTCCCGCCTGGGTGAGGCGGGAGGGAGTGTCAGACTCTTACTGACTAAAAACCACCCCGTTCCTTCTCCTGCACGTCGAGCCGGAGCCCCGGTTACCCGTTAGGTTCTCCGCGACAACAATCCTAGGATGGGGCAACGTTTTTATATAAAAAAAAATTCACACGTCTTCTGGTAGCACAGCACACAATAAATAAATGAACAATGATTAATTCTTACACAAACACTGTGTTAACTTGTTAAGACGTTTACATTGCCAAGTCACGAACTAAAATGTGTTAACTGAATCTATTTACTATTGTAATCTGGTAGCGTACAATTTGTAATATTTTCAAATTGTTATATTTAATTGCTTATGTTACGTTTCTTAAGTAAGCGTATTTCATAAATAATGTCCAAAGTACTTTTGATAACTTTTTCTGTTGTTCCGAAATGTCAAGATTTATTTTCGAGAAAATCTTCGAGTCTTCGTAATTAATTTCCCGATAACAACCGGACAATTGTAGTTTTAAATGCGAATCTCCGTAAATAATCATCTGGACTTGTATCATCATAAATCATCAAGTTAAATTCGAGGCAGAGGTGCACATTACGGCACTTAATGCCACTGTACAATGTAACACCGACTTTTGCCATATACCGGGCACAATTCCAGACTCCGTGCTACTACTGAGATTTTTTTAAAACCAAGTTATACTTTACCCGAGCCGGTAATCGGTCAACAAGGCAGTATTGAAAAATCACTACATCATAAATCACAACATAAACAATCTATTACTTTCAACGCATTATTAATTAAATTCCCAGTAAGAATTACCATAAAAAACCATTACGTACAATGGCACTAACAACTAGTTGCCATAATACATGCATAACTATAACTATAACTACCAACCAATAGAAACCGCGCCAATCAGCCAGGTAAACCGCGGGCTGCGCCGGCGCAACGTGCCTTACCACTTTTCGGTCAATTAACTCGAATAATGAGTTCACCCACTTCACATACCTGACTTACGTACATTAATTATGCAAGAGAATTAAATAATAAGTATTTTATTACGCGTTCGTACTTATTTGGCGGGGTTTGCCAACCTTTTTATTGGTATGAAGAGAAGTCGGTTAACAACAGCATTTTTATGAGAGTGAATATAAGTAAATAAACGTCATATCATAAGCATTCATTGATAATCGACTTTATTGTATAGTAGGGGTTATAATGTCCCAACTTTGTTTGTATATTTTTCGGTTTTTCCTCGACTTTTTCAGTAGTATTTATAAGTGCTCTAAGCCACTTCTGCGCGGCTCCGGCGCGTGTTACATAGTAACGTGATATTTTATAGTCTATAGCCATCCCCAATAAACAGCCTAACCAACACAAAGATTTTTTTTCAATTGGACCCAGCATTTCCAGAGATTAGCGCGTTCAAATAAACAAACAAACAAACAAACAAATACTTCAGCTTTATATAATACTAGCAAACCGCCCCGGCTTCGCACAGGTGCAATATGCGTGTATTATACATATAAACCTTCCTTAAAAATCACTCTATCTATTAAAAAAATACCTTAAAAATCCGTTCCGTAGTTTTAAAGATCTAAGCATACTTAGGGACAGACAGACGGCGTATAGCGACTTTGTTTTATACTACGTAGTGAAATAGTAAGTAGTATTTTTTTTTTAAGGGGGGAAAATCATATGACTGCTCCCGCCTGGGTGAGGCGGGAGGGAGTGTCAGACTCTTACTGACTAAAAACCACCCCGTTCCTTCTCCTGCACGTCGAGCCGGAGCCCCGGTTACCCGTTAGGTTCTCCGCGACATAGTAAGTAGTATAAGACATAACATTTGCACAGCTTTTATAAGTGTTCCTTCATTCCGGTTTCATTTACAGCAATTTTCGTCTGTTTTTCTTGGATCGTAAACTCGATAACTTCAGCTAGCAATTAGGTTTCAGATGTATGAAAACAAAAATAGTAAATAGAACATGAAATTAGCTCACATTAACTTGTAATTTGGGTTATTCCAACTTGTTTATACTACGTAATACTATTATGATAGTTAAAGAGTATTGGAAAATCCAACGTGTAGATAAATACTACACATTTATCCTCAAGAAAAGTTTGTTCTAGAAAACAGACTTAATCTTGAATTATTTTTATTGAATAAAAGACAATTAAAATGTGGTCAAATAAAATTTTCAATAGTTATTCCACTTTTCAACGTTATTTTTAACCGAATTCATTAGCTAGACCGATTTTAAACCTAACGGGTTACCGGGGCTTCGGCTCGAAGCGCAGGAGAAGGAACGGGGTGGTTTTTAATCAGTAAGACTCACCCAGGCGGGAGTAGACATTCGATGATATTCCCCCCTTAAAAAAAAATAAAAGAAGACCGATATTAAAACCGTCACTGTTAACCTTTAAAATATGTAGTTTCGAATATACCAACTAGCGAATTTAAACTGTCAAACACCAAGCGGTCACCGGTGACCGCAACCTATTGTTCTATAATTGTGTCTACAAAACCGGTACTCGACGAGTTAAACTATCAAATCTGCGAGTACGCAAATCAAATCTACAAAACACCACTTGTCTAGATTACGTACGGAATGTATAGTGTATAGTGTGTAACGAGTCGTATTTTTATCTACAAACAAACATACACTATCTAAAGTAAACAGTATTGACAAGTGATAACAAAATGGCACTGATATGTCTTGCACTTGAAATCATATTCGCTTGGGAAAACGGATTTTGCTGTCCACATACATATATTGATACATTATATAAAGCGGAAGAGTTTGTTTTTTTGTTTGTTTGTTTGAACGCGCTAATCTCCGTAACTACAAGTCTGATTTGAATAATTATTTTTGTGTTGGATAGCGTATTTATCGAGGATGGCTATAGGCTATAAAACATCACGCTACGACCAATAAGAGCTGAGCAGAGCGTGTGAAACCGCACGGAAGTAGGTAGTGGATGGATAAAATGAGATGCACTGAGTAACGAAGAAGATTCAAGTACTTGTTTACAACTACAAAGGGGACGAGACCACTCGTGTCTACAAAGGGGGTTCATAGACTAACTTTGGAATGAATTCCTTTAAAAACCTTTTCCAAACTCGGTACTTGATTTGTCAATTGTTTTTGTACTAAGTATAAGGAAAACGTCGATAATACTACTTAAATAGCGATAGTAAAACAAAAAGATAAAAGAAGTAAAGAATATACAATCAATAATAACATATACGTTAACAATAATTACGCTATATTTTCCGTATTAGATAAATAATACGAAATTCATTTTTAGCGTTAGTCTTGGCACGTGATTTTGTCAAAATCCTGTAAGTTAACACGGCCACATAACATAACATCACGCCTTTTATCCCCGAAGGGATAGGCAGAGGTGCACATTACGGCACTTAATGCCACTATACAATCAAGTACAAT